CACAAACCTGGCAGCAGGTGGGGTAGGTGATACTATCCTTTCACATAAGGAACACAGAGATGTTAGAGAATTTGAACAAGACCACATTAGAAATAAGGGACGACGTCACTAAGCCATCCAAGTCTTCAGTTCAGTTGAGCTCATTGTACTGTACCTTCCTCAGGTGGAGTAATATTTTTTTTAAAGACTGTTTTTGCCCTTTTAGGTAAAAGTCTCTCACACTATCTTTTATCCATTCACTCTTCCACCTCCCCATTTATTTACCCATCCATCTACCCCATCCAAATATCCACTGATTCACCCATCTACTCATCTGTCCATCCATGCATCCATCCATGCATCCATCCTTGCATCCATCCATCCATTCATCTATCCATCCATCCATCCGTCCATCCATCCATCCATCCATCCATCCATCCATCCATCCATCCATCCATCCATCTATCCATCCATCCATCCATCCATCCATCCATCCATCCATCCATCCATTTATTGATCTATCCACCCACCCATCCATCCACATATCCATTCTTTTGTCTGCTCTCTACGTGTGTATCTATATCTATCCATTTATCTTCCTATCCACCCACTGATTCATTCATCTATCCACCCACCCATCCATCCATTCACTCAACATTTGTGGTCCTTCTTTGTGCTTGTTACTATACAGAGTACAGGAACTACTTACCAGTTTTTGTTCTTATAAAAGGCAATGTTTTCAGTAAACAGGGATAGCTACAAGAGTAGTATCTGCATCAGTTTCTTCTCATTTACCATAGGTTTTCCCTGATGACAGCAAAACAAAATATTGTGCTCTAATTCTTCCTGTCAAATGCAATAAAGTACCTGGGAGGATGGCAACAAAAGGACCAGGAAAAGACCTAGTTAGTAAGAGTTCTTTCCTTTATAAGTGCATTAGAAGTACAATAATTATGGTTATGTTGTTGGATCACTTGAGATGAAAAGGGCACACTTCCAATTACTTCTCATGAGTAACAAGTTCAAATAATTAGAAATATATACTTAATAGGGTCTTGGAACTTTTTGGAAGAGCTAAATTAACCATGTAGGTGTTTTCTCAGGCTGCCATTCAGAGTTGAGACTCACTTATCTTCATAATTGCACTCTGTTTTGGGCAGTGAACCAACATCAATGATGCAGGTGCCTTAACATGTTGAGACCCTGTAAAGTGATGTGTTTCAAAGGAGATAGGAATGAAACTTCACAAATCAGAACAGATGGGAAAAACATATGGATCAACTATCAGTGAGTAATCAAAGAGGGAAAAAAACCCCAAACTGTGCAAAAGAAAATAAAAACATTTTTATTGCAAAAGAAAATAAAACATTTGAAATTTCTAAACAAATAGAATAAAATGGTAACAGTCCCATGAAACATTTTTAAAATTTGCCCAAATAGGGTGTAAATTTTATGAAGTTACTTTCACCAAGTTTCTGCATCACCAATGACTTATATCAATTAACACAATAGAGCTGTGGTGCTCAAACCTTAGCACGCATCAGGATCACTGGAAAACCCTGTTAAAACATAGATTGCTAGGCCCTTCCCTCAGAGCTCCCAAGTCACCAGGTCTGGAGTAGATCTAAGAATCTGCGATTGCAGCAAGCTCTTGGTGCTGCTGCTGCTGGTCTGGGGACCCCACTTTGAGAAACACTGCAATAGACCATCTCTAGCCCTCATCTCCCTTAACTTCACAGTTGTTGTATGACACTAGGGATCACTCCCTAGACCTGTGAAGCCCAACTTCTCTTGCTTTCCTTGCCATGTCTCCTCTGTTCCTTCTTAGTCTCTTAGCATTCTTGGGATTTTATACTGAGCTGCTGCTCTTTCACTGAAATCTGACTGAGACATCTCATTCACTCCGAAGCTTTCTGTCACCACTTAAACCCTGTGGGTCTCCAGGTTGCAGCTCCCACCTGTGTTTCACAAAGGCAGGGTTTTCATCGTCTTGTTCATGACTGCATCCCAAGTGACAGAGCACGCTTGGCATATGGAGTGTGCTCAGTCAGTATGAGTTACAACTCCCCATTAGGTATTTCCACCTGAATGCATCACACACTAACTTGCAACTGAAACTAAGTCCACACAGAAAGAAACATACCAAAGGAGGATATTATATATACAAGATTCTTCTCCCATCTTTCCAAGAGTACCATTAACCATCCATTTTGTAAGACCCAAGAAACCGAAGGGCTATCCTTGAATTCTCATCTGGCGAACATCAACTTGTGTTCATTTTACCCCATAATTCTTGCAGTTTCATTCATTTCTCCCCATTCCTGTTGCCCCTGCCCAGTCCAGGTCACCACTGTCTCTCACCTGAATGCCCACTTGGCCCCTCACCCACACCTCCTGTAATCTCCCAACCCCACAGCCACCGGCTGAGTCCTCAAGTCTTCTCCTGCCATGCCCATTACGCAAGCCTGTCCTAGAGCTCTCCTAACTCTTACAGCCAAGCCCCACCCCTCAGCAGGGTCTTTGTGTCAATCTGAAAGGGTCCCTACGGCCTTTCCAGCATTATTTCCCACTTTTCTCCCACAGCCCTATACTCCAACCGTTTTCCACTTAGCTTTGTTCTTCGAACACTCCATGCTTTCTTATCTCTGAGGCTGGGATTTAAGATGTCCCTTCCACCTAGAATAGGCTTTCGTTTCCCCCCTACCACGTTTTAGCTGGATCACTTCTACCCAATTTTCCATTTTCAACTTAAAATTCACTTCCTCCAAAAAGCCTTCCCTTTCCCCCACAAACAAAACAAAACTAGGTTAGACCCAGACTCTCATGGGTTCCCCTAAGCCTCTGTTCTGCACACAGGGTATTGCTTCTGCTTGTTGAATTTTTTGCCTTATGTGCTAATAATACCATGTCTCATGTCTATACAGTCTCATGTCTACACAGCACTGGGCTCAGGGCCCCCGGATTTGGTCATAAATGGAATAGGCCAAATGCATTTAAGGAACAGCCCAATTGCATTTAATGGAGTGAAATGTAAAATAAATTACTTAGAAATTATTTTAAAAGAAATTATTTTTCTATGTTGATAGAAGTCTGGTAGTGGCTCCATTGAGGGGATAGTGGCTCTGTTGAGGGGGTACCGACTAGCAAGGGCACCAGGGGATCCCCTAGGCCTGTGGAAATAGTCTGTACCTTATTGCTGGTAGAGGTTACACCAGGGGGCACATGGGCAAAAATTCATCAAGCTGTCCACTGAAGAGTTGTGCATTTTATGTATGTAAATATCGTATCTCAACAAAAGCAAATAATTGTTTTTAAATTAACATGGAATTAGTATAGGCTATAACAATTTGTACGGGCTAAAACAATGTGTGCTGGATGTAACACTGGAACTCAACGCCAACCTGCCGCAGTCTGAATATTGGTGTCCCCACAGACTCATATGTTGAAACCTAATCCCCAATGCAACAGTATCAAGAGGTGGGACTTTAGGAGATTAGCTTCCGAATGCCCGATGTCATGAATGGGATTAGTGCCCTTACAAAAGAGGCCCAAGGGAGCCTGTGTGCCCCAGGTACCATGTGAGGACACAGAGAAGGTGCCATCTATGAAGCAGAGAGCTAGCCCTCCCCAGACACTGAATCCACAGCACCTGGATCCACGACTTGCCACACTCAAGAACTGCGAGCAATACTTTTCTCTTGTTCGGAATCACCCAGTCTAAGGCATTTTGTGATAGCAGACCCAAAAGACTAAGACACTATCGTTGGCATGAAGCTTCCTTGAGATGCTAATTATTTCCTAAAGATCCGGAATTAAAAACATAGCAAAGTAATTCTTTAAGTCTTTGTTCTGAAAATGTCATTGTTTTAGACTGACTATGCCTTACTTACATTTCAGGCCCTCAGAATGGTTTCAGAGTCATTCTCCACAGAATTACATACCCTATTTAAAACCCTGCTTCACAAATTAGAGAGGTTTGAGTTAATGACATATAATTATACCTCGACATTTGAGAAATCTTAAACTATGGTAATGACAAATGCAGCTCAGCTGGGTTCACATTATTTTTAATATGATCACTTTCCTTCTTGAATTGTGAAAACAGGACACGGCAAAAAAACACCACTAGGTAGTGGGACTCCACAGCCCTATTAAAAAGGAGCCCTGACTGGGCATGGTGGCTCACGCCTATAATCCCAACACTTCGGGAGGCCGAGGCGGGCGAATCACCTGAGGTCAGGAGTTCCAGACCAGCCTGGCCAACATGGTAAAACTCCGTCTCTACTAAAAACACAAAAATTAGCCAGGCATAGTGGCCCACACCTGTAATCCCAGCTACTCCGGAGGCTGAAGCAGGAGAATCACTTGAACCCGAGAGGCGGAGGTTGCAGTGAGCTGAGATCAGGCCACTGCACTCTAGCCTGAGAGGCAGCGTGAGACTCAGTCAAAAAAAAAAAGCCCTGCTACTTGACTTTACGGGAAGAAGATTTTCCAAGCTTGTCAAGAAACGTAGGCTTTTCTAGCTGTCTTTTATTAGACTAGAACATAAAACACAGAAGTTCAAGATTCACTTTCTAACCAATAGGGGAAAAGGCGGGGGGTTTAAGAGCTTGTTTTTTGTAAGTTTTACTTCTCCTAAGAAGGTTCATGCCCTCTGGTGCTGGGCTTCCCAACAGTCCCGGGGCTCTGTCGCTGTGTTTGTTCTGACTGGTCAGCCGTCCCTGGGGCCTGGTGAAAGCCAATTTTGAAAAACAGCAATTAAAGCATTCTGTAGGTAGGGTGAAAACCCCACGGAAAAAACTGTGCATCCAGACTGAGGAGCTCCCCACAGCCACTTGGCACTGGCGGGGTGCTTTCTACACTGCAGATGAAAATCATTGCCTGCAGCTCTCTTGGGTGATGTCCCTACAAAAGTGCCTGTTTTGCATCTATTCTTGGTATTATGTTAATCAAAGTTTCACTTTCCTTATGTTTCTTTTTGCTACTGGTATACCCACACTCAGAAATCAAAGAAGAGTAAGTTTGAAAACTCCCAACTGTCCAATTTAATGAAGACATTACTTTATCATCATCATTGCCAAGCACATAAAACCGTCCAGTACCAGGACTGGAAAAACTGGAGGCTACCCAGCCATCTCAGTGTGATTTAGAGGAAGGAAATGCCACTGTGCCCCCTTTCCTGACGGGAAAATTGAGGTAGCTACACGGAAAGGGGAAGATAAATGTCCCACAGCGGATGTACTTATTCCTGACTTGGCGCACTCTGTCGCTTTTCCAAAGTAGCACCCAATGAAAAGGAGATGATCTGATAAAGTTGGCACTGCACAGGGATATGAGATGGGAGGTGAGGCAGGGGAGCTGGGATGGGCGACAGTCAGTGATGGTGATGGTAGTGGTGGTTGGTGATGGTGGTGACGGTGGCGCTTGGCCGGCTCCTCTCCCGTTTCTCCATCACTGCCCGTCCTCTCTGCCTCCTCCGTCCCCGCGTGGCCTCTGCCCAGAGAAACAGGATTTGCACCCAAGCCGCACGTCTGTGGGCGCCAAGCTGCGGCGCCCCGCGAGCCCGCACCCCCTCCCCCGGCCCCGCGGCCCGGCGGGCCCCGCGCCCCTCTCTGGGCCCCGCGCCCCTCTCTGCGCCCGGTGCCCTCCTCGGCTGTGGACCCGCTCGGCTCTCCTCGCGCCCCCATGCGCCGGCACCGCCCGAGCATCCCGGGACACCAGCGGCTGGAGGATCTGGCCGGCCCGGCCCCCCCCGCCCCCCACTGCAGGAAGCGCCTGCGACCCCCAGCCCGCTCCCCGCCCAGCCCCTAGAGGCCGGGCCACCGGTCACTTACGCCTGCGCTGGGCCCCGCGCGCCCGGCGGCCCGAGACAAAGGCTGCGCGGCCGCGGCGCCGCCTCCGGCTGCTCCCTGAGCCGCAGCTGCCGGGGGCCGGGAGGAGGATGGGGGACAGGGAGGAGGAAGAGGAGGAGGAGGACGGGAGGAGGAGGGGGCGGCGGCCAGGGAAAGCGGGGGAGGGGTCGCCGCGGCGCCGGCCACCCAGCTGCAGCAGCTCGAACCCAAGCCCTCCTGCTGTGGCCGGTCACCCTCCTGGGCGCAGTCCTCCCCGGTCCTCCGCCCCAAAACCTCCCCCGGGAGACTAGGGTACCGCCCCCCGGGGGGTGGGGTGAGAGGAAGAGGAGGGGAAGGAGGAAGGAGGTGTGTGTGTGCGTGTGTGTGTGTTCCCTCTTAATCGTGATGCTCTCCACCCACCCCCGCGTCCGCCAGCAATCTTATGAAAATGCTCGATTCCCGGCCTTACCTGGTCACCTCTGGGAAGCACCTTCACCTTCCTCCTTCCATCCGCCCGCACACCTCGCCTCTGGATGGTCCAACCATTTTATGAGCAGCAAAACTGAGACCTGGGAGTTGAAATGCCCAAGGACGCAGGGATACTGAGTGGCAGGCTGAGAGGAGAATGCCGGATCTGAGTCCTTTAAGAGGAGGACCCAGATGCTACCTGTTCTGTCTTGGGCTGGATGCCCAGCAGCCGTGGGGATGGGTCCAGGCTGGGAGTGGGACAAGCACGTGCCATCCTGCCTGGGCCTGCAAGGAGACTCCTAGGCTTCCTTTCTGGGAGAAGTAAGATTCTCAGTCATTTGCTTGACTCAGACATTTGCATCTTGGTATAAAGAGTAGCTTTGATTCATTTTTATTTAAAAAACTTTTTATTGTGAAATTTAAAAATGTTAAAGTAGAATAGTATCATGAACCCACAAGTGCTCGGCTTCCAAGATTGTCAGCATTTTCCATTCTTTTATCTACTCCTTCCCTTCCCCATCGAAGAGGCTAAGGACTTTTTAAAAACATAATTACAGTATTATTATGCCACTTTACAAAATTAACAATAATTCCCAATGCCCTCCGACTATCACTAAACAGCTGATAGTTATTCACTGAACAGTTATCTTCCAGGTCTGTGTTTAGCACTTTGACTGTGCTGCTCCGCTTTGGTTGGGCCGGAGTTTTGTCCAAAGCTGCTGATGGACAAGCGTCTTGCAAACCTGTTGCTGGCCTGCAGTCACCGAGGGACCACGAACTAGAGAACGTGATCCGTCAAGGGCCAAACACTTATTACCCTGTCCCTGCCCTCTTCAGTCAAATTTTTGACTGAAGCCTATCCTTCCAGAAAAACGCATGCACAGAACTTTGATGTGAATTATAAGGGTTTCCATTCAATTCACACAAACTGTCTGAACCCTAGTGCAGGTTACGAACTACAGAGGTGGGTTGAAGTGTAACCTGCAGCCCCTTGGAGTCCCATGGGTGGGCTCTTGAAGGCTCTGCAGGGTCTGGCCCCCAGCAGGAAAGCTGCGTTCTCCACTGGTTTCCCTGTGTCCTGAGGCCCGAGCACAGCAAAGAGAGGGAAGTTAGCGTGCCAGCTTTATGCTATATTTAAGACCTGTGCAGGTGTGAGATGGAAATGGACGCTCGGCTGTACCTTAGAAGAGCATCTGAGGAGGATGAAGGGGCTCAGCTCAGGCTGTGGCAAGGGCACCCAGACAGTCAGCTTCCCTGAACTCCCCTAGTGGCAGAGCCGAGGCTGGCTGTCGGTAGGTGGCTTGAAGGGCAGCGATAAGAGGTGGCAGAGCAGAGTGGCCAAGAGGCAGGCTCTGGATTCAGACCACCTGGCTTTCAATCCCAAACCTCTTGCTAGCCGTGTGACCTCGGCTGAATTACTTGGCATCTGTGTGCCTCAGTTACCCCATCAGGAAAAACTGGGGTTGTGGATCGAACCTGTATATTGGGGCTGCCAGGGGCATTATATATGTACAGTGCCTGGCACAAAATGGCTGGCAAGGTGCTTGGAGCATTCACGCTGCTGGCAGCCCCTACATGGGAGACCACAGTGACTGAAGCCCAGAGGGATGACTGCCCCAAAGGAGTCACACAGCCTTGCTTTAAGCAAACAAACAGGGCCCATGCCTGCTTTCTGCTGCAGTAGAAGCAGAATGTGCAGAAGAGAACATGGCTCTTCTCTCCTCGCCAAAGGCCAGAGAGTGGGTGAGGATGCCTACTGCCGGCCTCAGTGGGATCCCTGGACACTGTGGGCTTCCCGACTACCATGAATCCAGGAAATGATCCTTGGGATGCTGAAGGGAAGGGCTCAGTCTCTGTCCCCTCACCCCAGTCGAACTGGTCTCAGTTAATGGAACACAATGTTCCTTCTCCTGCCTCCCCACGCCTTACCTCTTCTTAGGAATCTGTCCCTGACAACCTCAGGCAGAGGAAGGTCTCTTCAGTCTGAGTCCCTGGGCCTGCGCTGCATTTGTGATTAGAGCTGTTGGTTGTGATGAGAGCTGTTGGTTGCTGTGTGCATTGTATCAGCCTCTCCAGACTGCACGTACTGAGAGCTGGAACTGTTATCAAGTCTTGGTGTTCCCCATAACATCCTGTTCATTGCCCGAGCTGGTACTGGTACAAACAATACTTCGTATAACATACACACAAATAATAGACTGTCCTCCCAAGGAGTGTGGCCCAGGCCAGGATTTCCATGTTCTGTAGCCAGCCCAGTGACTAGCCCAGGTGACTCAAACCCATCCCTGGGATGGGCAGGGCCTGGGGAGGAAGAGACCTGCCTCTGTGAGGCACATTCAGCTGCCACCATGATGAGTCTCTGATTTTGTATCTTCACCTCCTGGTTGCTGTATATTCTCATCCCCAAAAGGGGAAGCGCAGTTACTTGCCCTGGCATGGTCCTGAATTTCAGTGACCTTGTTCTGAGAAGAATAAACCTTTCCCTTTTCCTTGTACGTTTCTACCATTTTCATTCCCTCACTTGCAACTCTCTTTTCCTTCCCTCTCTTGTAATATGGATTATGGTGATCTTTAAAGAAACCTTTTGGTATGCTTTGTATCAATTAGACATAATGTAGCCATCATGTAAAATTGAGTCTAAGGCTGTTGTGGAATGAGATGAACAAGTGAAATGTGGTGTCTGGTCCTGCTCATGGGAGGACTCTCAAATTGTAGGTCTTCTTGCAGAATGAAGTATTTGGGGGATACTCAGACCTTCTGATTCTTTCGGGAAATAATTTTTACCAAAAATGTCTGGTAGTGTGTTCAGATGAAACACAGTGAAGAACATTATGAGGACCCATTTGTTCTTTGTGGACAATCTGACACTTCAAACCAGCTCTAAGAGAGAACTCTATAAACTATGAAAATGACAAAGAACTTCAGTCTTGATAAAGAAATAGAGTTTGGTTTAACTAAATGGAAGACCATACAAGTGTGGAAAGGACAGCTTGCGGTGATGAATGGATTAGATGACTATAAAGATCAACTTACAGAAGATTAATGGAAGGGGAGATGTATAATATCTGGGCTTCCAGCTGTTGAGGAATGCTAAGCTTATTGACATTGAAGATAAGCTTAGATAAAAGACATTTAGTCCAAATGGAGAGAAAATACTTTAAAATAAGCCTAATGCTAGCAACTAAATTAAGGCAGTAAATATATCTGTGGTTCCAGCCCATTTACTATTATAGAGACGACAGATCATTCTAATGAACAGTAGATTATTAACCACAGAGCACCCTATGCATCACAAGGAATTTGAGCCAGTCACGATCCCACATCAGAGGAGATCCAGTTGTCTCGACAAGGAAACTTTCATATCCTAGTTGGAAACTAAAAAAAAGTTGAGAATGTCATATGGGGTGGTTCTAAAACATCAGGGGTCCATGTCCCCTCCCTGTGGACCCCTGGATGGCCTTGCCAATGGGGAATGCTAGAAGAGCTGATAAGTGGTCTCCTGGGACTGGATCATAACAGGCGTGTACCCTGTGGCTCACTTGGCATGCTTACCTTCCAATATTCCCTCCTGGGAGACACCCACTCAGAACTGAGCCTGGGAGAGGTCTAAGCCACAGGGAGAGGTCATACAGAGGTGCTCAGGTCAACAGTCTCAGCCTTTGAGGCATCTCAGCCCAGGCCCCGGATGTAAGAATACATGTGATGATTCCAATGTCCAGCCTTCAAGTTACCTCCAGCTGTTTGAATCTTTCTAGCTGTGACCCCAGCATTGTAGAAAAGAGATTAGTCATCCGCCCTGTATCCCATCCAAATTCCTGGCCCAGGGAATCCGTGAGCATAATAAAATATGATTGTTTAATGCCATTAAGTATGGGTAGTTGTTATGTAACAAGAGGTAACACGAATACCAAACAATAAACAAGCGTATGTCAGGTGGAATGAGACAGATTTTGCCTTCAAAAAGCTTACAGTCTTAGCAGGAATCAGTGTGAAATAAGCTAAACATGAAGGGATCATGCTGAATTCCAGGCTGTTTTCTGCCCTTTCTAGATGCACAGCCCTGGGAAGGTGTTGGCTTTTGTGCCCAGTGTCCCCATCTGTAAAATAAGCATAACAATAGTACCTCCTGCATGGGGGCTTGTGAAGAAAGAATACGCGTGGAGCACTTAGGACATGGTGCCACTCCATAAGTGCCAGTCCATTGTTAATATTATTATGCTCCAGGCACATTTATTCCGTGGCACACGCAGGAGAAACGGCTCCTGAACCCTGACCATATCACTGGGTGATCTGTGTTTCAAGAAAAGTAGATTCCTGTAATGGGTTTGATTAACAGGCCCCAGAGTTTTATAATGAGTTCACAACAGCTTCTCATCAATCAGAGTTTTATCATCTCTTCTGGACTGTCACCTGCAGTAAGAAATACATTTCACATTGTGACCATGTATCTGCCCATATAAAACTATATTAAAATTTTTATAAAATAATACTTGCCCTTACTATGTGCAACATACTCTGTTTTCTCTCTTTTCCCATGGCACTTTTCAAAATCCACTAAATCGATTTCACAATACACAAACGAGTCAAAACCTGCAATTTGAAAGCCATGCAATAAATAATAATTTTTATATGGTTTCTGTGATGGTCCATCTCATGTGTCAACTTGACTGGGCGAGGAGATGCCCAGATAACTGGCAAAACATTGTTTCTGTGTGTGTCTGTGAGGCGTTTCTGGAAGAGATGAGCATTTGAATCAGTGGACTGAGTCAGAAGATCATAGTCACCAGCATGGGTGGGCAACACCCCATCCCTTGAGGGCTCAAATAGAACAAAGAGCAGAGAGAAGGGCAGTTTCGCTGTCTTTATTCTTTAACGGGAGCATCCATCTTCTCCTGGTCCTGGACATTAGAACTCCAGGCTCTTGGGCGTTTAAACTAGGACTGGGACTTACACCACCGGCTACCCTCACTC